GGCGCGTGTCCCCCCCCCCCCCCCCCCCCCCAGCCCACTCACGCAGCAGCAGCTCCAGCGGGCCCGGCGGAGCCGCCCCGGCCATGGCCCGTCCGTCCGCCCGCCCTTCCCCGCAGGGCCCCCCGAGCCGCAACCAGGAAGCCGGCCCGGCGCAGCCCGCCCCTTCGGGGGCACGTGAGGAGGACGGCGTGACCCGAAGGGGCGGCTGCCAAGCCAGCGGGCGGGCGGGTCCGAAACGCGGAAGACGCAGCCCGGCGGCAGGCTCAGCAGAGCCCTCCCTCCCCACGGGCGCGCAGTTAAAGGGGTGGGTGTGGGTATGGTCAGCCATCGCCGAGTCCGTCCAAAGGGCTGGTCCCAACCAGGGCTCCCTCTAAGCCGTGCAGTCTGGTGAGCAGGGCTCCCTCTAAGCTGCGTGAGTGTGAGCCAGCTCACAATCTTTTAGCCTCCAGCTCACACATTTCTGTCTTGGCTCAGGAAGGGACGGGGCTCCAGAGCCAACTGAGTTATGCAGCAGCCAAGTCGCTCGCTCACAGCTTTAGTGCCAGGAGCTCACAAAGTAGAATCTTGGCTCACCAGACTCTCCGGAGCTTAGAGGGAACATTGCTGGTGAGCCGAAATTCTGCTTTGTGAGCGCTTGGCATGGAAGTCGTGGGAGCAAGTGATTGGGCTGCTGCCTGAAATCAGCTTGCTCTGGAGCCCTCCTTCCGAAGCAAAGACAAAACGGTGCGAGCCGGAGGCTACAGAACTGTGAGCTGGCTCACACTAAACTCAGCTTAGAGGGAGGGCACTTTCAGAAGAGCGGCTGCTGCTGCTAAGCCCCAGGGGGAGACAACCCCCCCCCTCAAGATCACCAGGCTGAGGCCATGCCAGCTGCAGACCGCCAGCAGGAGTTCAGCTCCTGCTGACGGATCTATTGGACTCGCCACACCCTGGCTGAAGAAGACCCTTTAGAACACACGGGCAGGGGGACCAACCCTCCCTCTAAGCTGCGGAGGCTTCTTGTGAGCAAAAATTATCCTTGGTGAGCTCCTGGGCATGAAAGTGGTGAGCAGGCGATTGGGCTGCTGCATACATCCGTTTGCTCTGGATCCCCCATCCTTCCTGAGCAAAGAACTGTGAGCTGGCTCACACTCACTCAGCTTAGAGGGAACACTGGAGCCCTCCTTCCTGAGCAGAAATGCATGAGCCAGAGGCTAAACAGCTGTGAGCTCACACTAAACTCAGCTGAGAGGGAACACTGGTCCCAACAGGGGGGGAGGGGGCCCCACAGGGGCGGGGTGAGGATTTCGGCTTCACCAGCCAGGTGCGGCAGAGAATGCCCCCACTCCCCTGAGGACCTGCCAGGGGGGGGGGGGCAGACCTTTGCCCAGGAACTGGCAGGCACTTGGGGGCAGGCATTCAGGAGCTGGCAAAGTTCCCTGTGAGGTTGCACCATGCCCCCCCCCCACCCATCACTGCATGTGGCTCTAGCGGTGCCCCCCCCCAGCCAGCAATCCCTTGCCAGGGGGGCAGTGCGGCTGGCTGCCTGTGGTGATGGGGACGGCCACTGGAGACTGCGGAATGGGGTGGGTGGGCAGCCCCTGAAACCCGGTTCTGGAAGGCCTGGCCCTCTCCCTCTCACGCCAACTGGATGGGAAGGGAGAGCCAAATGTCACCAGCCCAGCTTTGGAAAAGGGAGCTTTGGAGCTGCTCTTCCGGAGACCAGCAGGACGGACTGGCAGGTTGGTGGGGGGGGCGGGGGGGGGGGGGCCAAGGAGCCGGGCGGGTTGGCCGGTTGTGGCCAGAGTCTCGTGAGCAAAAAAACCTCCTTTGTGAGCTCGTGGCATTAAAGTTGTGAACCAGCGATTGGGCTGCTGCATAAATTAGTTTGCTCCGGAGCCCCATCCTTCCTGAGCCGAGACAAAAAAAATGTGTGAGCCGGGGGCCAAAAAACGGTGAGGTGGCTCACACTGACTCAGCTGAGAGGGAACCCTGGTTGTGGGGGGGACCCTGCGTTTTCCTCCAGGCCAAAACTGTTCTGCGGCAGTCGCTCCAACGGCAAGAAGAAGTGCTGTGGCTCAAACTGGGAAGGCCGTTCCATCCTTCTGTTTCCCAATCGGGTAGAAAAACAGGAACCAAAGAGGGAGGAGGCCAGACGGCAACGGTGCAGCAAGGAAACAGGATTCAGCCCCCCCCCCTCCTTCCCCAACACCCCAGCCCCAAGGCAGGCTAGAATCCTTCCATCCTCCACGGGGCTTATTTAGGAGGAACCAGAGTCCTGGTTTGGCCCATTCACCCGTGGCCTTCTGACCTGGGGTCCCCGCCCCCCCTGCAGGGAGGGCCAGGTGGCGTCATGTGAACACCAAACCCTGCCACTTGGCGACTGAGTCCGCTTTTTATTATGGCCGCATCAGGCCCAAGACTGAACCAACAACAACCTATGAGATTACATTAGGAAATCGTTTCTTCGAGTCCTGAAACCCAGCGCTGCTTCCTGCAGGATGCGCTGAGCGCCGCCACAAGGGCTCGCAAGATCTGCGGGAGTCTTCGAGGTCCAACTTGCTTCGCGCCCCAACGCAAGGCTCCCCCGGTGTCGCTGTGTGTCTCTTTCCCCCAGAGGGTGGGTTAACCGCGCAAGGCCCTTCGGATCCGCGCCCGAGTTTCTCCACGTCCCAAGGAGACCATCATTTCGGCAACGCTGGGTCCTTGCTAAAACACACCAGAGGGTTACCGTCGGTGCAGGGACAGGGGGACATTTCCTGTCTGCCAAGCCGCATGTTGGCAAATCAGGGGCTTGGCGGACTTTCCCACCCGGATGACCAAGGCAGCTGCCCCGTCTGGCAGCACCCACAGAACTGGCACAGTGCCCGTCTAAACCTGTTGGCTTCTGCAGCAGTGCCCACATGAGGCAGCTTGCTGCCATCATCCCCACGGGACCGGAGAGATGGCAGAGCCCAGATCTGGGCACAGAACTGGCACAAATTCCAAGCAGGCTGTTTTGCGACCTGATTCCCAAAGATCCCGGGAAGGCTGTTATAAAAACACCGGACACACCCAACGCAGCTGCGGCCCAAGCTGAAGGATCCGAGGCGGGGAAGTTTTTGGGCCAGACGCTCACCTGCTGGCCGCTGAGGGCCATGCGGAGGAGCTTCATCATGGCGCTGTACTGGGTGACTTGGACCCGCTCCGGCAGACGCCGCAAGTCTCTGCTGAGCTCTTCGACGGTGAGGGTGGCCACCGGCTGGTCCAGCAACCTTGGGACAGGAACCAGATACCCTTCACCACAAGGCACCGCCCAGCCGAACGCAGAGGCAGTGTCCGTTTCCACCACGCAAGAGAGAACCCACCTCTCCAGGGGGCCCTGAGCATCGCTAGGGGCTCCTGTGCCAACTTACTCAAGGACCAGCCGGCCTATCTCTTCGGCCTCCAGGGAAATGGCCTGCAGCTCCTCGTGAGGCACCGTGGGCCGGATCCACAGGAAAGCGTATTGGGGTGACACCAGATCCAGAAGACGGCTTATGTGGCCCTGGAAGAGAAAGGACAGACAACAGAAGAAGAGGAGGTCAGATTTATACCCTGCCCTTCTCTACCCGAAGGAGTCTCAGAGCGGCTCACAATCTCCTTTCCCTTCCACTCCCCACAACAGACAGACACCCCCTGTGAGGCAGGTGGGGCTGAGAGAGCTCTCCCGAGAACTGCCCTTGAGAGAACACAGCTCTGAAAGAACTTGTGACTGACCCAAGGCCACACCAGCAGCTGCATGTGGAAGAGGAGTGGGGAATCAAACCCGGTCCTCCCAGATTAGAGTCCGCGCTCCTAACCGCTACACCAAACTGGCTCTCAGACCAGGGGTCCCCAAGGTTTTTGAGCCTGTGGGCACAGGGTGGTGGATGCAGCCACAAAACGGCTGCCGTGAGAGGCAGAGCCAGTCTCAAAATACCAAGGACTGAGGTTCACCATAACTCTAACTGTACCCCTTCAACATTTCAGGGAGGAGCTCTGCTTCAAAGGTAAAGGTAAAGGTTCCCTTGCTCGAAAGCCAGTCGAGTCCAACTCTAGGGTTGCGGAGCTCATCTCCGTTTCAAAGCCGAAGAGCCAGCGCTGTCCGAAGACGTTTCCGTGGTCATGTGGCCGGCATGACTAAACACCAAGGCGCACGGAACGCTGTTACCTTCCCACCAAAGTGGTACCTATTGATCTACTTGCAATGTCTTGCTTTCGAACTGCTAGGTTGGCAGGAGCTGGAACTAGAGACGGGAGCTCACTCCGTCATGCGGCAACCTGGGTCTCGATCTGCTGAACTAACGACCTTCCGCAGCCTGCAGTTCAGCGTCTTAACCACTTGAGCCACCGCAGCTAACGGGTTGCTTAAAAGGATTTCCTTGCTCACACAGAGCTTTTCTTCAGCCCCGCAGTGGAGATCTTTGGGCCGTGGTGGCAGTTGGGGTGCACAGCCAGTGAGAGCCCCGGCCGGGCAAAAACGACACCTCCCCCCCCCACACACTTTCGAAAAACACTCGGCGGCCATAATAGACAGAGAGTCCGCAGGCAGAGTGAACGGGGTCACTGCCCGTCTGGCAGAGCGTGCTTGGGCCAAAGTGCAGGCGAAGGGTGACTCCAAGAGGAGAACCCGGACAGCGTTCGGCTTACCCTCCTCAGCAGAAGCACCTGCTCGACGTAAGCCTTCTCGAGAACCCCTCTGTCCACCAGCTGGGCCCCGTAGACCCGCTCCACCGACGCCTGCACCTCCGCCACCAAATCAGGCCGCCTCCTCTCGTCCCCGATCTGCCGGGCCAGGTGGATTCTGGGTAATCACAGAACCTGCTGGAACCTCAGTCACCCCAGGCTGACCCAGCCAAGTACATTCGAGGAACACCCTTCACCCAAAGAGTCATATTCACACCTGGAACTCACTGCGACTGGAAGGGGTGGTGGTGGCGGCTACAAGCACTGACAGCTTCAAGAGGGGACTGGATAAGCATATGGAGCAGAGGTCCATCAAGGGCTATTAGCCCCCAGGTATAGATGGGGACTCTGTTAGTGTCCCCGGCCCCAGGGACGTCCGACTAGCCTCAAACACGACCAGGGCATTCTCAGCCCTGGCCCCTGCCTGGTGGAATGACCTCTCCTATGAGATCAGGGCCCTGCGGGACTTATTGCCGTTCTGCAGGGACTGCGAGACGGAGCTCTTCCGCCAGGCATTTGGTTGAGGCAACGGACGTCCCCCCCACTCTTCTCTGGCACTAGTTTTTCTGGTCCAGCTTTTCTGGCCAATTGTCCACCACTGGCCTGATCCTGATTGGTCATCTGATCACCTATTTGTTTACAGGGTCTTTTATGTGTAAATTGTTATTTTAATACTATTTCAATTGTAATATTTAATTGCTGCATGTTCTTATGTCTGGGGCAGGGATGACCTGTATTCTTGGTGCTTGAGGGGGCAAGAGTGGGGGGGGCCCTCCTGAAGTCTGACGGCCCCTGGGTTTTGGCCACTGTGTGACACAGAGTGTTGGACTAGATGGGCCACTGGCCTGATCCAACCTGCCTTCTCTCATGTTCTTATGTCTGGGGCAGGGATGACCTGTATTCTTGGTGCTTGAGGGGGCAAGAGTGGGGGGGGCCCTCCTGAAGTCTGACGGCCCCTGGGTTTTGGCCACTGTGTGACACAGAGTGTTGGACTAGATGGGCCACTGGCCTGATCCAACCTGCCTTCTCTCATGTTCTTATGTCTGGGGCAGGGATGACCTGTATTCTTGGTGCTTGAGGGGGCAAGAGTGGGGGGGGCCCTCCTGAAGTCTGACGGCCCCTGGGTTTTGGCCATGGTGTGACACAGAGTGTTGGACTAGATGGGCCACTGGCCTGATCCAACCTGCCTTCTCTCATGTTCTTATGTCTGGGGCAGGGATGACCTGTATTCTTGGTGCTTGAGGGGACAAGAGGGGGGGGGGCTCCTGAAGTCTGACGGCCCCTGGGTTTTGGCCATGGTGTGACACAGGGCATTGGACTGGAGGGGCCATTGGCCTGACCCAACATGGCTTCTCTTATGCTCTTAAGTAAACAACCAACAAAGCTTTAAAAATATGGCAGCAATATGAGACCCCCAAGGATTATGAGGATACTGAACGAGTCTTTCAGCGAGGCCAGTAGCAGCCCATCCGTGAAGTCTCCCCCCCCCCCCCCAAGCCTGGGTCCTGGCTGCTCTGGTAAAAGAAGGGGGAAAGAAAATGAGGATGGGGGCTTCCCTGCGGAAAGAATAAGGCTGCAGGAAAGCTGGAATGCCGGGGAGGCGGGACCCTGGGTCACCCAACCAGGACGGCATCCAGAAGGTGATGTGAAGCACCCGGGGAGGTGTACAGCCCCCCCCCCCCACCAGCTCTACCTGTTGAACTCGCTCAGCCTCCCCAGATCCAGCAGGGCGGAGTGCTTCTCGATCTTGCCCACGTCGAACTCAGCCACCAGCTCTTCCAGCGTCCTTCCCATCCGGTTCCCTGGGGAAGACAGCAGCCAGCCCACCGAGTTCCTCCTGCAGCCTCCTCTCTCCCCGCTGCAGCACTTTCCCTCGGGCGGGGGGGGGGTGTGAGACCCGGTCCCTGCCTCTTGGGAGGGAGAAGGAGAGGCGGGCCGGAGAGACGAGGCCAGAGCAGGCCGGCAGAGCGAGAAGAGCTTGGCAAGGCCAAGGTGGTCCACGGACCACCTTCCGAGGAACCCGGCCCCTGTGGAAGAGGGTCTCGCCAATGTTCCCCCTAAGCTGAGTTCGTGTGAGTCAGCTCACAGTTTTTTAGCCTCCCGCTCACACATTTTTTGTCTCAGCTCAAGAAGGAGAAGGAGAAAAGGAGAAGAGATTGGATTTATTCCCCTTGCCCTTCACTTGGAGTCTCAGAGCAGCTTACAAACTCCTTTCCCTTCCCTTCCCCACCACAGACACCCTGTGAGGCAGGTGGGGCCGAGAGAGCTCTGACAGAAACTGCTCTTTTTTCAAGAACAGCTCTTATTAGAACCACGGCTCTTGGGAAGGAGCAAGAGAGGCCAGAGCAAGCTGGCAGAGTGAGAAGAGGGCTCCAGAGCAAACTAATTTATGGGGTAGCCCAATCGCTCTCTCACAACTTTAGTGCCAAGAGCTCACCAAGTAGAATCTTTGCTCACAGGACTCCACAGCTTAGAGGGAGCCCTGGATTCTCGGCCTCGTCAGCCTCTCCGGCAGAGAATTCCCCCCTCCCCAAGGGCAGCCTTACCCGTGAACCCAGAGCCGCAGTTGGTGATGGCGTCCATCAGTGCCGCCGGCAGGCAGCCGTCCCGCGCGAACTGCTCCACGTAGACGTGGCCCTGCCGCTTGGAGAGCTTGCTGCCGTCCGCGTTGAGGAGGAGGGGCAGGTGGCCGAAGCAGGGGGGGTCCCAGCCGAAGGCCCGGTAGAGCAGCAGGTGCTTGGAGGTGGAGGCCAGCCACTCGGCCCCCCGCAGCACGTGGCTGACCCCCATCCGGTGGTCGTCCACCACGTTGGCCAGGTGGTAGGTGGGGAAGCCGTCGCTCTTCAGGATCACCGGGTCCCCCTCCACGCTGGCCACCTCGTGCCGGCTCCAGCCGTAGACCAGGTCGTGGAAGGGCTCCGACCCTTCCTCCAGGCGGAACCGCACCACGGAGTCGGCCCCTTGGCTCACCTTCTCGGCCACCTGCTTGGCGGTCAGGTGGCGGCACCTGTTGTCATACCTGCAGAGGCAGGGAAACCAGGGGAGAGGCTCAGACAGACGTGCGAGGGGCTGCGCCCGTTCCAGCTGAGCCCGCGTGGGGCTCACCCCAGGCACTCAGCTGACCCACTGTCAGAACCGGACCCTTGCCCGGGCCATCCTCCCTGTCACTAGGGTTCTCTGATGTACACAGGTATGCTCTGTTATTGCTCCGCCAGCTGTTCTCCCTCCCCGCCTGTAGTTCCCAAGTTCCCGTTTAGCACCTGCTGGCATCGTATCAATCTGTCTGCAAGGTCCTCCTCTGACATCCCTGGGAGAGGGGGCGACTGAGACATGCCTGTGTGAACCGTAGATTAGCTGCGCTTGTACCTCTGTGAAAAGGAAGCATCCTCCGCAAAGGCCGGAGGGAACTTTCGCTGCTTCTCATTCTCATGGCCTTGCGGAGAGACTCAAGTGATAACATTCACACCCCGTCCCAATTGCACTGTATTAACCTGTCTACGGACTACATAATCATGACGTATGAATGAGGGCTGGGCCAAAGGCCTCGTAGATTCCCACTTTGTATTATTCCTTAGTTCTGTCAAAAAGTTCAACTGCACAGCAACTAAATCGGTTTTCTCAATAAAACCTGTAAAAGGACTTATTGCGTCTGAGTGGTTCCTGAAGAAGCTGACAGATCGACAGAACTAAGGAATAACACAAAGTGGGGATCTACGAGACCTTTGGTGGCGAGGCTGTGAGAGGCGGGCGAGGCCCCGGGGGGGCCTCCCCCACCCATGCCACAAGCCCTTACCGTGGCGTCTCCTGGTTCTGTAGCGCGGCCTTCTTCAGGAGCTCCAGGCGCTGGGGTGTGCAGAAGCAGCGGTAAGCGGACCCCTCCTCAAGCAGCCGCTCGACGGCTTCTCTGTAGATATCGAGCCTATGAGATTGCTGGTAAGGGCCGGCCGGCCCGCCCCGGCGAGGGCTTTCGTCGGGAGGGATACCTGGGAGGGGAGAGCCAGAACGGGAGGATGAGTAAGTTCCCTCATCCTTCCCAAAGGTGAGCCACGTTTGTTACGACCGCCCCGAGACCTGCCTACAGAACAAGTCAGTATCGGAGCTCAGCAAATACTCTCGCCACGTACCAAACTGGGCTCTGAGCAGGAGCAGGCCTGTAGGCACGGTGGGGCTTTCTTAAAGGCACAGCCCCCCCCCCAAGAATTTCTTCTGTAAATGCTTTTTTTCCTATCATTTTAAAACACTTTTTAAAAGGTGTCTGTTCCTTTAAGCAGAGTGGGGTGCTGCAGTTGCCTAGTTCCCGCACTGAGCAAGGGGGTTGGAGTAGGTGACCTCTAGGACACCTTCTAACTCTGGGTCAAGAAACTGGTCTCCTTTAAGAGGGTTTTTCTGCCTAAGTGTTAGCTTTTTTGACTGTAGAAGTCACACACACCCCTCCCACCTGCCAGCTTGTTCTCAGAACCGTTGCTTAGGCTGGCAGAAGGGATTAACTTGCAGGAGCAGCTGAGAACTGTCAGGGACCTTTCACAGTTCCACAGGGCCTGTAAAACGGAGCTCTTCCGCCAGGCCTGTGGAGCTGCCACCACCACCACCAGTACAACCATCAACAGTGCTATTAGTAATAACCGATAACCATGGTGGAAGCCCTGAGCCACAGGTCCCAGTGACTACTGCCTGGCCCAGCCCCCCACCCCTCTCCCCCACAATCGCAGTGGACCAATAGAACTAAAGTAAATACTGGAATTGCTAGCACCTTAAAATATCTGATTTTAATATTGTTTATACTATTGTATTGCATTAATGTTTTTATGTACTATGTTTTATTTATTATGATAACTTTTACCTGGTTACCAGCTTAGGCCGGAATGGACGGGATAAAAATCAAATTCGGAGGCTGCAGCTGGTGCAGAATGCAGCGGCCAGGTTGTTGGTGGGTGCCCCTAAACGGTGGTGACGTAAAAGGAAGCCCGTAGTGTGTACCCAATTTCTGAACAGTCATTACCAAGTTAGATTGATGCGACTGCAAGAGCCTTATCCTTTCCCAGTGAAGATGCCCACCAAATGGTGGGAATATGTGAAATCTACAGTCTGGCCCAACTCTTGATTTGAAGTTCAGAACTTCCAAATATGTAAAAACAGGAGAAGGCCAAAGGAGAGAGCTGGTTTACTGGCCACTGTTTTGTGAGAAACAAAAAAGGATATGGCTTTATCTAGCTTTAAGGACATCCCCTCCCTTTGTGCCTCAGGGATTCCTGAAAAGACTGACCGTCAACTCACAATTGCAGGTGCCTTCTCCTCTTCTCCCGGCAGGAGCAGTGCTGTAGTCACAGACGAGACCCTGGCTCTGATCACACACATGAAGGTGGTTGCAGGGCTCTCCCAGCCTGCGAGCACATATATTGCAGCACCCGCATCCGTCCAGAACCAGGGGGGAGCCTGGCGGGCAACGGGGAGGGAGCCAAGGGCAATAGCAGGGAGTCTGGCAGAGCTGGGCACATGCCTGCATATGAGAGAGAGAGAGAATTGGAACAGGAAGAAATGCTGTCTGCATTCATGTGTTCTTAGGTGCACATTTCTAGTACCATCACTAGTAACTACTGTATAGCCTGGTTCCTGTTGAATTATCGACAGCCTGTGCACGTCGAGTAAGATCAACGCTGGAAATGAACACCATATGGCAGTGATGGCGAACCTTTTAGAGACCGAGTGCCCAAACTGCGACCCAAAACCCACTTATTTATCGCAAAGTGCCAACACGGCAATTTAACCTGAATACTGAGGTTTTACTTTAGAAAAAACAACTCATACATTAACTTAAGATGATCCAAACAAAGTAAGGAAAGCAATCCCAAATGCTTTCATTTACTTAACATTATTTGGCAGAGAATTCGACACTTTAATGATGGTCTGGGCCTGGCTGGGGCGATGGCACGTGTGCCCACAGAGAGGGCTCTGAGTGCCACCTCTGGCACCCGAGCCATAGGTTCGCCACCACTGGGCTAAACGGTTAAGAACAGCTATGCAGAATCCTCAGAATTCTGGCTTTCCTTTCCGCACTGAGAACCTCGGCCCCACAAGCCACCAGATCCTGGCTCCAGGCCCGAGCAGGAGTCCAGTCCATCCACACAGGCGGTGGCCAGATGTCCTTGCACACACATGAGAATCCCATCTCTGTGGGGCCCGCAAGACCTTTCATGGGCAACTGTGCGGGAACTCGGGGGGGGTGGGCTCGGAGAGACGCTCCAGCTTCCTCACGAGCTCTTTTGGGTGGGTGGCCGCCAGCTACGCACTCACAGCGGGTCGGACAAGAGGATCAGCGCGGCAGAGAGGGGGACAGTCGGCGTGGTGGCCGGCCAGAGAGAAGGGCGCTCCGACTGGGGTCATTTGCTGCATGAAGGAGAGCCCCCGTTGTTCGTCCCACCCCTGCACCTCTTTGTCGCAGGAGCCCTGTGGGAGGGAGGCCAGAGAGCCGCGGCTTCCTTCCCAGTTCCTAAGAGCATGCTGGCCAGGGAGGCAAAGGGCAGGTTCCTCGTCCTCCTCTCTGGGAGCGGCTCTGGCCGAGTCGAGAGGAAAAGGGTTTGGGTTCCACTTACAGGAGAAGACAGCCGGTACCCGTTTGATGAGATTAACGATTTGGGGACAACCGCAGAGAAAGAGGGGAAGGGGCCCGAAGGAAGCCAACAGGGGTCACCTGCCCACTCCAGCATGTCCTCGATCCCGTCGGCGGCTCCGGGCACGATCCGGCTCTGGTCCGTGTCTTCCAGCCGAAGGATGAAGCGTCCTCCGTGCTTTTTGGCAAAAATGTAGTTGTACAAAGCCGTCCGCAGGCCCCCCAGGTGCAGGAAACCTGTGCAAAAGAGACAGAGAGTCACCAAGGGAGCGTGGCAGTGCTAGGCCCAGGGAAACGGGGGCTGCGAAGGCTGTGGGGCATTTGGGGACCAGACGCACACACGATCTCTCTCGGCCTCACTTACTTCACTGGGCTGCTGGGGGCCTAATATGGAAGCCTGGACGGCTTCAAGAGGGCATTAGATAAGCATATGGAGCAGAGGTATAGATAGGGACTCTGGGGCAGATGATGCTCTGTCCTCTTGGTGCTTGGGGGGGGCAACAGTGGGAGGGCTTCTGGTGTCCTTGGCCCCACTGCTGGACCTCCTAAGGGCCCCTGGTATTCTTGGCCACTGTGTGACAGACAGAGTGTTGGACAGGATGGGCCATTGGCCTGATCCAACATCGGCTTCTCTTATGTTCTTAAGAGAGGAGAACCTCCTGCCCTCCTGTGAGTCCCATGGAGGAAGGGCAGAGACTGAGATAGAGAGCTGTTGCAATTGGGAGTGGAGACTCCCTGTTGGGAGCAGTCTACCTACAAATAAAACTTCTTAGGAATTCTTCAGAGAAAGAGCAAGCAACTGAGCCAAGGTGCAACTAAAATCCAAGAAGGTGTTCCTGAGCAGACTACAGGGCAATGAGATGTCACAAAGACATGACAGGAAAGGATGCAGGATGCTGTAACAGCTGATATACAATAACTGCACGGAGATCCTCTTCCATAAGCCTACACAGGAAAAAATTGGATTCCTTTTCTACCACGTACGTCAGGCCTGAAACCTGGCACACAGCCTGCAAGGCTAAGATCCACAGAGTCACAGTAAGCCGACTTTTAACCTTCAAACACCATAACAAGCAGTGTTCCCTCTAAGCTGAGTTTAGTGCGAGCCAGCTTACGGTTTTTTAGCCTCCGGCTCACGTGTTTCTGTTCTAGCTCAGGAAGGGATGGGGCTCCAGAGCAAACTGATTTACGCAGTATAGCCCAATCTCTCGCTCACTGCTTTAATGCCAGCTGAGCTCAGAAAGTAGAATTTTTGCTCACAAGACCCCACAGCTTAGAGGGAGCACTGGATGCAACCCTTCGGCAGGCTTGGGGGGGGCATGCAATGCAACCGGCATTCCCTCTAAGCTGAGTTTAGTGCATTCCCTCTAAGCTGAGTTTAGCCAGCTCACAGTCTTTTAGCCTCCGTCTCACACCTTTTTGTTCCTTTTCACACCTTTTCTACCACGTACGTCAGGCCTGAAACCTGGCACACAGCCTGCAAGGCTAAGATCCACAGAGTCCCAGTAAGCGGACTTTTAACCTTCAAACACCATAGCAAGCAGTGTTCCCTCTAAGCTGAGTTTAGTGCGAGCCAGCTCACGGTTTTTTAGCCTCCGGCTCATGCGTTTCTGTTCTAGCTCAGGAAGGACGGGGCTCCAGAGCAGACTTATTTACGCAGTATAGCCCAATCTCTCGCTCACCGCTTTCATGCCAGTTGAGCTCACAAAGTAGAATTTTTGCTCACAAGACCCCACGCTTAGAGGGAGCACTGGATGCAACCCTTCGGCGGGCTCCCCTCCGAGGTGATGCAAAAGCGGAAG